GGGGGGGGGGGGGGGGGGGGGGGGGGGGGGGGGGGGGGGGCGGGGGGGGGGGGGGGGGGGGGAGGGTGGTTTCACTGGTAAAACAAGAAATAAGGTTAGCTTAACAGAACAATTGTGAGTGGTCTTTACCCAAAATACTCTTTACAACTAACGGCACGCATCGGCCAGACACAGGTCACGCGGGTATTGAAGAGGGAGTAAAGTGGCTGGGCGAGTATTGTTTACTGGAATTCCAAGGTCTAATGTCACTGTTTGTTTGTACTTACCACCCCGCCTTTGAACTCTGGTGAGAAATGATCGATCTCACTCACGATCCCTGGATGGAAAGGCAGCAATGTGATCGCCATTAGGAATGACATCTGCCCATAATTCCCCATATCATACAAAAAAATGAGTCATCACCAGCGAGTACGAGAACTAGGTCGACATCAGGAGGGAGATTGCAGGACTGTTCCGCTTCAAAAAAAAGTTTTTCAACTGTGAGCGGGAGACTGCCGTTCAAACGGGAACGCAATAATTGGCGTTTATTTGTGTGTTGGATCATCTGTTCAGTACATAAAATCGCAATCACTTATCCCACAATGGTCACAAATGTATGACAACGACAACGCAGAAAGTGAGAGGAACAACTATATAATGATTTTCTTACAAAGAAAAAAAAANAAAAAAAAACACGCACCTTACACATATGCTTCCCATATGTGCTTAACTATCTGTCAGGATTTTCCGGAATTTTCATAGGAAATGGGAAGTACTTCATCCTGTTCTGTCCACATAATCATGCTTGACTATGATAACCAACTACCCCGAAGCCCTTACTTACTACTACCGTTACAGAATTGCTGACACCTTGTTGGCATGGTTTTCTATATGCCTTACTCGGTTAATCTTTGAAGAGCGGATTTCAAGATGCTTCCATTTTCCCACCGTTTTTGGTTAGCAGCTAGCCTAACCTTTTTCACCACTGACCGCTCTCTGTTCCAAAACTAGTTTGCCAACAGCACTTAAAGAGAGACATCTGTGTTCTTTTTAACTTCAGCCCTAGGAGCTTAGCAGCCATCTCTGCAAATTACACTCGCAAGAAATATTCATGATGTCCTAGCTAGGTTTCGGACGTTACGAGCCGGCTTGCCGCGTATGGGAAGAGGAGATGAATAGGAGCTTTCAGGACGGCTAGTTGCTTGGAAAAAGAATCCCATTCAAAGGAGAGGAGGGGAAGGTCATATTTCAAAACTACATGAAACAACACATGTTTTCGACTCTCCACCAGTCTCAAAAATCAGTCTTATCGAATCAGAGCTACAAGTAATCTTACCTGACTCGATATTCCATAGACAGACTTTTCCTTCTTGGCAACAGGTGATCAGCCGTGACTGGTTACACAATGCGCTGCTCTCAATTGGGAAGCGATGCCCAGAGAACACAATCGGCAGCTGGAAAGTTGGATTTTTTTCTCAGAGACGATGAAATTTTCGGAAGCAGTGAAACATGATAGCTGATGGATAAAGAAAGAGGTAACAAGGCTTCAGTCTTTCCTTCCTCCCATTGGAACGAAATGCACCGCATCTCGTTAGTAGTCTGTTCAGAGCTGCCAAAAGAACTGGCTAGCTACTAATTAGCTGACAAATAAGTCAATATGTTGCTCAGGGCCTCAAAAACTGAGCAGACGCCGAATGAAGCTATCCCGTGGAATTAGGCAAAGAAGATAGCCGAAAGATGCTCCTTCGGTACGCGCAATTGCGACGGTCCTTGTTTTCTTCCACTGACATGGAAATCTGTGTCACGCAANNNNAAAAAAAAACCAAGTAATACTCCTTGTTACACTTCAGAAATCACTACTCCCCACAACGCTTTTTCTATAAACTCTGTAGGTGACTGGTTTAATTGGTTTCCGCAGTTCATTACCAACGATGAACTGGAATCTGAGATTCGGATGGAATTGAGGACGACCAAATCAAGGTCAGAATTCTTCACACGCATGATCCTAATTCAGATCATGTAAGGGCTACACTTGCAATCACTTTTCCCTACCCATCCAAATAAATATATGGCTAGAAATAATAGTACTGCAATATATTTTATGTCGGTATACGGACAAATGTAAAGAGTAGAAAACTTATGTAACTTGCTGTTGAAGGGCTATCTATATAGGCTGATGGACAAGAATCGCAAGGGCTCCGTTCGCGTACTCAGCCGCAAAACTCTCGATAGGAAAATACCCGTGCCATTAAAGTTTCGAAGTTGTATCCACCTTTTTTGTAAGATTGGAAATTCTGGATTCAAAAATTTCTTTTAGGATGTAAGTGTTTCACTCCATAGGATTCATTATCTTGCACCAGTCATCCATCACAACCCTCACTGGGATCAACTTTAAATAAATCTTCGGTGGACTTCTATAAGGAAACGACAGGGAAATAGAATAACTTTTTGAAACTCACAGATTCCACCATAGATTTCGAGGAGCCATTCGTTTCCAATATACTCCCACGTGGTGAAATGGATTTTGGAGACGTTAGGGCGACTTCCTATAAATCAGAAATGCTAAAAAAAAGTACGCCCAATAAATCATTCAAAGACATATTGACACGTTATTCTAAATGATTATGAAATACCTTGTTTCGGATGCGATCGGTCCGCCATCGTCCCCAAAAACATACATATAAAATGAAGCCGACCACGCACATCAACAACATTAACCAAACTACTGCCAGATAAAAGCGTAATTGCGACTCCAACCACGAAATGCGGGATCTGAAGAGAGCTTTTCACAAAGTGGAACCAAGAATCTCCCAGTTACCTACTTCAGCGCAATGCGGCTGTCAGGCTCCATTTGACGTGGCATCTGCCTGGATTTACTCTCATCCGTAGATAATTTGGGATGGAGAAGAAGATCAGACGGGTCGATCTATAAGTGATATTCCTGACAAAGATATGTGACTTTTAGGTAAAGAAAAAGAGCACTCTTACCGTTGTCTTCAAAACAATTGGGGGCAAGAAAGTGATGTAACTACCAGACAAACTCATATTGAACTCGGAAAACAACGCTGGCCACCTATAAAAGGAATTTTAGCCAAGATGACCCTGTCTATATATGAAGTCTGCATCAAACATACCATTTGAAGGTACGTTCGCTCCACAACTGCCATTGGGAAGGAGCTGCATCGAGTGGTGATTGAGAATCAACGAAAGGTATTTGTCCATTTTGGGGATCTATAATTGGAGATTAATTATTAGTGAGCTGGAATCTGCTTAAAACATAACGCACTCGAGGAGTTGAACGGAAAGTTGCCATGCTCATGCACAACAAAAGCCAACCAAATCGTCCAAAGAGCAAATATAACCATGATCGTACGCTAAAATGCAAGTTGAAGAAGCATAACCATGCAGCAACAAGCATTCCGAGGCATAACAAAAATATTTAGCACTACTTCTCAACAAAAAAACTTGAGCACAAATAATGCAAAAGATAACGACTCGACAGGAGAATGAAGGCTCCAGCGTCATTGAGCCGTTGCGAAATCTCATAGAAATAGCAAATTCTTCTCTGCCGTTGAGCGTGGAAATTTCTCGAAAGCCGGTGCTGTCGGATTGGAGGGTGTATTTCGAGGAAAAAAGGTGCAACGAGTAGTCACATCATCAGTTGCTAGGAGAGAATTTCTAATGAAAAATTTTTCAAACAGAAGAGAACCAGGGGTCTTGCTGAACGAATCCTAGGAAGATGAATTTAGGTAGGTAGAATTTGAGTCATCATACAAAAAGCTGTGAACGTCTTTTTTGCATGTCACCGCAGAACACTGTTAGTGAATCATTCAGAGTAGGTAAACTTAGCGCACCATCCCGTACTCCTTTTCATCTTCTCAACGATTCTTACAGTACCAAGGACAGAGAAGGAAGGCATGAAAGGAATACCATATATCAATCTACTCGGAGTACTGTACACTTTCGAGAATCTGATCTGATAGACGAGTTTGAATGGCTGATACTATGAGGTGATACAAGCCGATACTAGATTGAAGGCAATCACCCTATTCGGAAAGGTATACAAAACCCTCGATATCTTGGGACGGAGAGGTAGGCTACGCCATACGAGTTTCATTTTTTCCAAAATCCATAATTAAATCAGGCCCCAGGTCATATTAAGCATAAGAAACAAGAACCAGTCATTCTCACTAGAGGATTCTGACCCTGATACTCTGATAACATGATGTTAGCGTTATAA